TATCAGCCTGTGCTCTATCAGCCTGTGCTCTATCAGCCTGTGCTCTATCACCCTGTGCATCATGGCTCCTGCTAGACAGATGGTGGTGTCTTTGTGCATACGTGAGATGCAGAACCACCCTGCTTCTGGGTTTGCACTCGACATGGAGCTAGCTACTGCTCTGTAATAGAGCAGTAGTAACCCGTGACAGGACCCAGGCACAGTCTCAGACAGTGTGCAGCGGAGCAGGAACCAGAGCATCTCAGGGCTGTAGAACTCATTAAGACATCATCTTGATACTCTCCCAAGGCCCGTGAGAGGAAGTACCAAGGAAGTCAGACTTTAGCCTAGCAAAAGGGTATTCTCAGAGGCTTCTCCAGCTTCTCCAGCCACCCCAGCTCCCTCCCACACCTCGGTGGCCCATCTGACACTTTCTTCTGTTCCCCAGGAGGTGCTGGCTTTTTCCAAGAGCTCAGCCCGAGGCCAGGCATTTTTGAAACACCTAACTGACCCATCCATCAGTGGCACTCTGTTTGTGCCACAGAACAGTGGGTTACTGGAAAATAAGGTGAGTGGAATTCCTAGTGCCTACACTTTAGACAGGAGCGTTATCTGTCACCACTATAACAGGGGACAAATCACTCCACCAGGCATAATGGTGCAGGCCTGTAATCCCAGCACTTAGGAAGTAAAAGTACAGAACCTTGTAACAGACAAACAACAATCCCTACCCCAATATGGTGGTTGAGTTATCCAGCGAACATTCAGTGAGTAGCTGCTGCTTCTGGTCTCCACACGGCCAGCTGTCCAGGCTGGCCTGGTGATGTCTGTGCCCTAAAAGTTCTCACAACCAAGCAGCCTAACCCAGTCATGGCAAAGAACAGGAGTGTCGGGTGCTGTTCAGTCCTCTCACATTTGCCAATGAGACGCCAGCCAATAGCTCACAAGGCTGAGCCCAAAGTCAGGGGAAGAGCTAAGGGGCCAGAGGCAAGAATCCTGGGAGGAGAGAAGCACTGGGCCCCCTAGTGTAGTGAGTCTGACACACCAACCTTCTTCAGGATATGGTCCAAAGAGGACTTGCTCAACTCGTCCCTGGAGGCTGACCAGCAGGCTGTGAGCTTCAGGTACTACCCAATTACAGAGCTGAAGAGAGATGCCTCTGCCTGCCTGGTACTCACAGTAGACACCTCCAGGAAACTCACTTTAGAGAATGGAGCTAACTCTCCATGTGTGGTTCTATATGAGCCTTGGGAACGACCCCAAACACCTAAGACGACCTCATCTCCTGCTGTCGCTCAGACCTAAGACCCTTCATGTGCTTTGTTTTTCTTAGAGCCTGTCTGGGCGGGACATCGAGCAGCACCTCACTAATGTCAATGGCTTTTTTTACGATGACCTTGTCAATGGTACCATCCTGAGGACTAGCCTGGGAAGCCAACTGCTCATTACCTCCAGCCAGGACCAGCTCCACCAAGTATGAAAAGTCCTCTGGGCTTCTTGAAAGAAGTAGAAAAAAAAAATACATGCAAAGCTCCAGGCATGAGTAGACACGTGACTGATGCCAACTATTATTATATGAAACTCGGCTTTAGATCCACAGGTCAGGGTGGTATTAATGCAAATGGTGGCTGTGACATCATATGCTCACAGGCCACCCCAGAGCCTTGGGAACAGGCTGGCATCAGGAGCTGGGTAGTGAGTACTGGGTATGAAACTTCTTTCTGTTGCTTTTCTTTTCTTTAGTTTTTCGAGACAGGGTATTTCTCTGTATAGCCCTGCCTGTCCCGGAAGTCACTCTGTAGATCAGGCTGGTATCAAACTCACAGAGATCTGTTTGCCTCTGTCTCCTGAGTGCTGGGATAAAAGTCATGGGCCACCATCACCCAGCTGATGAAAAGAAACTATTTTGAAGATACTTTGTTCTCTTTGTTTTGGTCCCTCCTGGGGATTGGACCATCAACCAAAAAGTACACATGGAGGGACCCATGGCTCCAGCCACATATGTGGCAGAGGATGGCCTTGTTGGCATCAGTGGGAGGAACAGCCCTTGGGCCTGAGAGTGTTTGATGCCCCAGTGTAGGAGAATGCCAGGGAGAAAAGGTGGGAGTGGGTGAGTGGGGGGGTCACCCCCATAGAGGCAGGGGGAGGGAGGATGAGATAAGGGGTTTCCAAAGGGGAGACCTGGAAAGGGGGAAACAATTGAAATGTAAATAAAAAATCCAGAAAAAAAAAATAAAAATAAAATAAAAAGTTAAAAACAAAAACTTGCACTTCCGAGTCAGATGACTGGGGAGTGAACCTCTGCCTCTTGTAAGGACTTAGTCTACCCATCTTCTCTGAGCTGTTTCTTCACCTGATAAATAGGGATGAAGGTGAAAATGTTAATGATGACGGTGGAGGTAGTGATGGTGGCGGTGCTGAGGACCGTGGTGACTGTGAACTCTAATCCGTAGGCTGTCAGGGGTCCTGTCGTTCAGAGTTTGTAATGTGGAGACACTGGACCTGACAGGATGAGTCCTAAGTGGCAGTGCTTTAGACGAGCCCCCTTTCAACATCTGTGCACATCCGAGCCATCTGAAGTCTGTTAGAATGTGACTGTAACTCCACAGGCAAGACACATGACCTCAGTAACACCTACACCACAAGCTAGTGCTTGCATGGTGTTTAACACCTCTCTATAGGTGTGGTGCAAGCCAGAGCGCAGAGCCTCGAGGTTTCCTGCTTACTGCCCCAGAGCTCTTGAACAGGCCATTTTCCTTCCGGCAGCTCAGCTGTCACATGGAGGGTTGGAGCAATCAGCCCAAAGGTCTCTGCAGCCCTCAGACCAGCTTGGTTTTGGTGGTACAAAGCCAATGGGTGTTTGACAGTACACAATGGAGGTTAGGCAGAAGCCTAGGCTCTAAGGCCTGAGAAGCCAAAAGGAAAACCTGCCTGTGTGGGGGAAGGGGAAGGAGACAGCAGATCTCATGCATTCTCTTCTGGTTCCCCAGGAGACCAGGTTTGTGGATGGAAGAGCCATTCTGCAGTGGGACATCATTGCCTCCAATGGCCTCCTCCATATCATTTCTGAGCCTTTGAAAGCCCCTCCCTCAGCAGCAGTGAGTACTCAGGCTCCAGTGAGGAGCCAGGAAAACCAGGAGTCAAATATGCACTCCCCAGACCTCCACTGGCCTCCAACCCTTCTAGTTTGTGGATCAGAAGGGAAAGAGGAGTCAGGGGAACCAGGGGGAAGGAATCGAGATGTCCCAAACTCAGATTTCTCTGAGCCCTCTGAGCCCCAATTTTCTCACCTACACAGTGTGTGTTGAGGGGGTCACAGCACTTCCCTGTCCTGGGGAGACTGCATGGAGAAATGCTGAGTCCTTAAAGCAGTTGCTGGCACAGCCTGCATGCTCCAGAAAGGCTGGCTATGGATACCCTTAGTATCCTAACACGTTCCCAGGAGCACCTAGAAAGTTCCATAGCATGGCAGTTGAGCAGATAAGCTCCAAACCAGACTAGCTTTAAAGCCTATTCTATTTCTAGAAAGCTGCAGTTCGGGCAAGTACTTATTGTCTCTGCATCAGTCCCCCCACATAAAAATGGAGGACATAACTGTCCAAATCTCTTCAGGTCATTATACCAGGCCCTGGCAGTGATGAGGCCTGGGACTGTGTACATCTTACATTTCTGAGTCACTCCAAGGTCCCTGGGCAAGCGAGGGTAAACTCAGACATCCTCTCTGGGGAATCTCCACTTTAAGAACTGGCCCCTTTCCTTTCTCTGTGCAGATGGCTGCCCACTCTGGCCTGGGAACAGGCATATTCTGCGCTGTCGTCCTGGTCACTGGTGCGATTGCTCTGGCTGCCTACTCCTACTTCCGGCTAAACCAGAGAACAATTGGCTTCCGGCGTTTTGAGGTGAGAGAGAGAAAACTGAGAAGGGGGATGGTGGGTTGCCTTTCATGTGTTTCTGTGCATGTGAAGGTAGCACACGCCTGTGACCCTAATGCTCTACAGGGATGCAGCAGGATCAGGATGTGAGTGTGTGTGTGTGTGTGTGTGCGCGAGTGTGTGTGTCTGTCTGTCTGTGCATGTCTGTCTATGTGTATGTGTGAGTGTGTGTGTGCACACGTGTCTATGTGTGTGTGTACATGTGAGTGTGTGTGTGCGTGTATGAGTGCATTCGTGTGTGTCTGTCTATGTGTATGTGAGTGTATGTATGTGCATGTGAGTGTGTGTGTCTGTCTGTGTATGTGTGTGTGTGTCTGTGTGTTCTGTGTGTGTTTGAGTGTCTGTGTGTGTTTGAGTGTCTGTGTGTGTTTGAGTGTCTGTGTGTGTGTGTGAGTGTGTGTGTGTCTGTCTGTGTGTTCTGTGTGTGTGTGAGTGTTTGTGTGTATGCGTGTGTGTCTGTGTGTGTGAATGTGTGTGTTTGAGTGTCTGTGTGTGTGAGTGTGTGTGTATACACACACATACACATATACACACATACCTGAGGTTGTCCTCTGGCATCCACATGCATGTACACTCATTGGCACAACACTAGATGTCCAAGACTGGGTAATTTACAAAGAGCCTGGGTTTATTGACTTGTGGCTCTGGAGACTGGGAAGCCCAAGACCAGGGGCTGGGATAACTTGGCTTCTGACAAGGGTCTCAGGCCTCGTCAACTCACAGCAGAAATCTAAAGTGTTAAGTAGAGAAGTGCAGAAGCAGCAAGACCCAGGGCAGCCTCACTCAGCACCAAGCCAGCCACTGTGGCTCACACCTGAAAAAGAGTCTGTGGCAGCACACGAGGGGCAGCCCCTCAGCCCTTACAGGCTGTGCCTCCCACAGTCAGTCCACAAAGCGGGTTCTGGAGGAACACACATCAGGCCCATTCCAACAGCCAGCTCCAGGGGCTAGGCTAGCTCAAGGTGTCCTTCCCCCAGAGCTGGTGTTCAGGGGAAGAGACTGACCACCCCACCGATGCTCCTGCCTCCTGGAAGGAGTCTCTAGACAAGTGGCCACTTTGGTGGGCAGAGGAGCTAAGACTGGCTCTGAGAGTTGGGGATGGGGGTCAAACGCCCCCAGCTTCACTCTCTAGCCAGCAAACCTCATGTCATTCTCCATGCAGAGTTGAGTCTACCTCATATCATCAGCAAGCTCCATAGCTGACTATGGGATGGCCCACGAGTCAGTCACTTTTCTGTTACCATGGTAACATAATACCATAATGAAGCTAAGTAGAAGAAAAGGTCAGCTCATGGTTCTAACCCATGGTCACTTGGTGACATGGTCCCTGGAGACTTGGCTTTTGGATCTGTTGCAAGGAACCCATTGTGGCGGGAACATATGGCCAAGTTCTTCATGGTGTCTGGGAAGCAAAGAGAAAGGAAGAAGGAGAGGCCAGAGTTCCCAAGGCCCCTTCACAGGCACAACCCTCAGTTACCAAACTTTGTCCCACTAGGCACCACCTCCTAAAGGTCCCATGGACTCTCATGAATGCCAGGAGGTGGGGTCCAGTCTTTAACCCAGAGCCTTTGCAAGACATGCATCCGGAGGTGCAGCCGCTGAGAGTCGTTCTTTATAGACTCTGTACTCTTCACCGCTCTCCTTTTCACTCAGAGAATTCGGTGCAGCCTTCAGGCAACAGCCCATGCCTTCCAGTATACAGCTTGCCTATTTATAAGCTCAGAGGCAACTCTCAAAAACATCCACACTACAAACTAGCCCGTGTATAGTCAAGAAGTCTGTTCAGCTCACAGATCTGAAAGCTGGGTGATCTGAGACCATGTGGCCACCCCTGGTAAGGGCTCTCTTGCTACAGGAGAATTCTTCCCACACAGTGCAGAGAATGAACTAGGGTGACAGCACCAAGTCCTGGCTCACAGAGTCACGGTCCCACTGGCTCATGCTTCACCTGCTGTGCCCTTTAACCTCAACAGAAGGTCCTGCCTGCAGATACCACAGCACAACCACTTCTGCTCTCCTAAATAGCTCCAAATTGGGACTAAATCTTAATCATGTTTGGGTGAGGACATTCAAACCATCATGTTTGAATATGCAAATCAAGTATGCATATCATATATGACCTTTCCAAGTTCAGGGATATCCATACAACTCCAGGGTAACAAGAGGCTCACCAATGCGTATGGTAGGAGAATTGGCAGCATAAGCCTTGGGCACATTTCTCAGGGGTAGAAATGTCCTAAGGACCAGTTTGGGAAACATACCTGGTCAGATATGTAAGCTGTCATGGGGGCCCAGTGCCTTCTCTTACAAGTCAGTCATCTCAACACAGTGTTGCTGAGAAGGCTCCCAAGGAGAATAGTGGCTCGGAGATGGGGACAGTCCTGCCTCTCATCCCTTGTCATTCTCTTTCTGAACAGTCAGAAGATGACATTGATGTCTTGGCTTTTGGCAAGCAGCAGCCTGAGAGTATCGCAAACCCTTTGTATGAGACCTCAACGCCGGCACCCCCCGAGCCCTCCTGTTACCCCTTCACAGTGAGTTTGCACTTCACTCTAGGCCAGGGTTCATCTTGGGTACAGAATACTGCCTTCCAGCACAGATCTGTGGAGCTGCACTGCGGAAAGCACACCCGTCTAGACTGTCTCAGACAGCATGCCTAGAACCCACTCTTCTGTTCAGAATGCCCATCTTCTGGGTAGATGGCACAAGCCTCAGACCAGAGGCTGCCTCACCTCTGCCAGATGGTGGGGTGTAGGAGGGCGCTACTGTCAGAAGTTAGCCTGAGAGTCCTTCCCTTAGCTCTGCCCCATCAACTCTGCCAGGGCAGAGCCACTGTTTACTTGGGCAGTTGCCTTTGCTTAAGGAGGTCTTTCCCAGGTGATGTTCTGATCTAGTCTTCCAAAGAACCTTCCATTTATTGAGTTGGTCAAGCTTCAGCTTGGATGGGAGTACTCTGACTTTAACCCAGGCTAACCCAGTGGAGGGCACCTCATTCACAGTAAATGTGAAAGGTAACTTGCCTGTCATTTTTTTATCAGTTCTGGACTGAGAAGCTAGGGAAAGGTGTTTCCTCGTTACGTAACCATGAAAACCCTTGCCAACCAGTGAGCTGGCTGTCCTTGTCTGACCAGCACACCAGGCTGACAGTGTTCTTTCGGCAGAGGCAACATTTGAGTCTTGGCTTATATGGATTAACAGCCCTCCTGCAGCAGTACCCAAAGCCAGATGGTTGTCAGTGTAGTGTTTAGAAGATATATTTCTCCCACAAATCACAATATAGTTCAGTTTTTAAAAAATTACTCTGAAAATCCCATTAAATCAAATACATATATATAGTCTTTATTTACTTACTGACACAAGGCCCTGCTATGTAGCTTTGACTGGCCTGGAACTCACCATATAGAGCAGGCTGTCTAGAACTCAGAGACTTACCTTCTTCTGCCTCTCAAGTGCTAGGATGAGAGGCGTGTGCCACCATAGCTGGCTGTGTAGTTGAACTTTTTACAGCTTGTCACTGAAACACTACAAAGCTTTCTTGCAAATCACTTGAAAATGCTTTACTACAATAGATCAAACCCTGAGTCTGCACCCTATGGGGATTCGTGTGTATGGTAGCAGACTGGAGACTGAATTACCTTTGCTCTGCTAGGTTGGAAAACAACCACATCACAAACCCCTATTTTTTTTTTCTAAGTGTGTGTCCAAATTTCAACCGTGGGCTGTGCTGGATTATGGGTTTACTTCTGTCGGCATCATTCCATTGAAACCAACGTCATTTTAAACATTTATGGGGCATGAGGTCAAGCTAGTCAGTGCCCTCCACACCTTTCCATATTTTGCTTTAAGGGCACCTTCAGCTTTAGACATAACAGAGTCGCCTGAAGCAAAGTGACAGCATTCTAGAGGCAGGATTCAGCTAAACTCAGGCAGAACCAGTTGCCCAAAGGCTCCAGTGCCAGGACTCCTGAGGCCAGGACACCAACAAGCTACACTCTCTGCCTTTATACCTCCCCATCTCTGTACATCCCAATGAGAAACCTTGGCTAACCAATGCTGCTATCAGAGCTAATGGCAGCAGGAGGCTTACCAAGGAAGGCTCTCTGGCAGGGAGTAGGGTGTCCAGAGTTCAGCATCTCCAAGGCTCACAGTGACCATGCTTCAGTATCTTCAGTATGAAGGAGTGTCTGTAACCCCATTAATCACCATGGCTATATGCAGTAGCTAACCCTCACACCTTCCCTGGGAGCTAAGTATTTCTATGGTGCTGACAGAAACGGGGAAGCAGTATTGAGAAGCACACAGGCAACATCAAGCAGCAAAACTTGAAGCATGGATGGGCCCAGCATAAGCAGCCCTGATCAGCACCCAGCCCCCACACACCCAGCTCCCACATGAGGCGGCAGCACGACGGGAGGCTCCTGAGGCAAGGCATGCTTTAGGCCCGCCCAGCCCTGTATGAAGCAGCATCATGAGCAAAGGTTCAGTGAGGCCCAGGGCAGAGCGGTGTTCCCCGGGAAGGATGCAGGAGGAGGCTCATCCCTGACCCTAGTATCACAACCCTCTGTCTTCCAGGACTCTGGAGAACAAGAGCTGGAGAACAGCGACCCGCTGGGGGCACTGAGGTCCTGATGTGATAAGCCAGCCACATGAGCCCCGAGCCATCATGGTTCCCCAGTGAATCCCCAGCCCCAGCAATCTCTTGGGTCATTTGTTTTAAAGTATAATAACACTCAGAAGCCATACCTCACCCCTATGGTTAATCTGGGGCTGTCACCATGGGTAAGGGGCCATGTTGCCTGGATACCCAGGGGACCTCCACCTTCTCTGGGGCTCCACTGTGGTTTTCTGCACATTCCAGATGGTGCTTGATGGTGATTTCTGCCCTATCCTGTGGGCAGCTGTGACCTTGTGGTATTCTCCTATCGACTGTACGCACCAAGGCAGGGCTTCGCCTCATATGTTCTATATCCCAGTACCCAGAAGTACCTGCCACACCGGTGCACTCAATAAATGTTTTGGGAACAAAAAAAGTCACTGTGTACCTAGGAAGTGTCAAACAATGAAAGCAAAATACACTCACCAGGCTCATTAGAGCCCTTCCAATTGGCCAACATTTTTCTTATCAGTTATTTGATTGATTCCTTTCATTTTACTTTATGCAAATGAGAGTCCACTTCACACACACTAGAACACTGGTCAAATGGTCCATCAGAAGACAAGCTTTGCTGAGAGTGTGGAGAACTGGAACTCTCATGCCTTGCTGGTGGGAAATGTCTAGTAGAGGTACTGTGGTAAAGTCTCAGCTCCTCAGACAGTCCAATGGATTGTCACAGAACCCAGGACCATCTCTCATAGGTCGTACCCAGGAAGACTGATCATCCGTAGGCTCATATGGACTCATGGTGACATTGTTCATAACAGTCAAAAGGCAGAACACCAATGTCCATTGTCTGGTGTGACTGAGCTGTGCTGTATCCATGCAACACACTACTGAAAGATGCTGTGTTGCTATGTGCTACAGTGTACCCTGACACTGTTAGAAAACGAGGTGTTATCTGACCATAGAGGGGGTAGACCCCCTCTATCTCCTTCCCTATCCTTCCTGCATAGCCCAGGCTAGCCTTAAAGTCCACAGTCCCCTGTTTTAGCCTCCAGCATGCTAGGATCATGCACCTAAGCTGTCATACCCAGGTGGACAAAAAAAAAAAAACTCTTGAGATTAGAGAATTGGGAGCAGGAATAAAACAGCTTCAAAACCACCAGCCCGGTGACTTGCAGATAAGCAGCAGAGATCCAGAGAGAAGCCTGAGCAGCCTCCGGTGGCAGGACTTGCTGGGATTGGGGCAGAACTGAGTGCTGTCTCCCCCAAGTCCAGGGCCAAACTCACATCTGTGTATTTGGGATAAAGATTTCCACATATCGTAAACTTCTGGTCCTTTCTCACTGTGGACAGTTGCTCATGACTCGGTGAGCTTCAGTCATCTCTGTAACATCCACACACCCACCTACTGGCTCCCTTCCCAGTTACCAGAGGGCAGTGTCAGCAGGATGGAGTCACTATGGGGAACAGGGTGGAAGCCCAGGTTGAACAGACCTCAGGCTCCCCCCTCTTTTGCCTATATACCCCAAATCTCCTCGTTCCCTTCCATGAAAAGTTTGCCGAGTCAAGTCTAAAGTTTTGGAATCCATAAAATGTAAGCTCTCTCCCAGCTCCAGGAAACCGAAGCTGCCGCAGTTCTCCAGAGAGGGACATCCACCTTAGAGACATCACACCATGAGGAACAATGGCGCACTTCCTGGAACCCACCCACCCACACAACAAATGTAGGCGATTAGCTAGTGGCATCCATCATCCCAACTCAAACAGAAGTGAGCACACTGGGAAGCATACTATTCACGGGAGACATGACTGAGGATCTGTTCAGCACAGTGAGGGCATGGTGGCACCCCGTGCCAAGGCTATACACACACACTTAAGATGTGTAAAGGTAAGGCATTCAAGATTTATAAACTTACCCAAACCCAGTAGCAAACTGTCTTAATATTCTTCAATTCCGTATTTCCTCAGCATGTCCTAGTGCCCCGGTTAATTCTGTATCTCCTCAGCATGTCCTAGCTCCCTGGTTAATTCCGTATTTCCTCAGCATGTCCTAGCTCCCTGGTTAATTCCATATCTCCTCAGCGTGTCCTAGCTCCCTGGTTAATTCCGTATCTCCTCAGCGTGTCCTAGCTCCCTGGTTAATGACTATGAGAGAACAAGACAATGTACCCATCCCCCAACACCACCCCACCCTGTGTATGCCTGCCAGCAGCCACCTGCCCAGGGCAGATATCACACAAGTTTCTATTTGTGACAGTCCTGAAGCCCAGAAACAGCCTACATTTCACCCTTCCCAACCCCCTTTGTGGGTCCCTTTTCTTCCTTCTTTTGAGGTGATGGGAATCGAACTCAGGTCCTCAAGCATGCGGGATAAGCACTTTACCACTGAGCTGTACTACCAACCCCAGGGATTTTTTTTTTTTTTAATCTTTGATTTCTTTTCATAGAAATGACCTCACATCCAGGGGAAAACCATGTTTTGCAACTGGCTTAAGTACCCATAACCGACACAATTCAAGCTTTTATTTGGCTTTAAGTTCATTATCACAACATATACAATCAACACGTAGAATAAATAGCAAAACTTCACATTCCGAATAAATAGTAAACCTATGTTGCATTTATCATGCCTGATACCACACAGGCACAGTCCTCGCACGGCACAAGGGGGAAATAATGGGCCTACATTGGAGCTCAAGCCTGCGCTAACAGGGAAACGCAGGAGCACTTTCGGAGGAACAGACTGGAGACAAAAGCTTCATGCAGGGAGCTTTTCCGAGGGTGCTGGGGTGCTGGGGTGCTGGGGTGCTGGGGTACTGGGACAGACACCCGGAGGGGAAGGGGCAGGCCAGTTGAGAGGAGGGGCACAGAGATGCAAGGCAAGCACAGGAAGGTCTTGTAGCCCCAAAGGGAGCTCTGGAGCTGTCCCCCAAAGGCCCTCTTCCCTTCCTAGTCATGGATTATACACCCCCAGGAAAGGCATGTGACCTGGGGCAAGGCAGGGCTGCGAATCAAGGAAATGCTCAAAGAGAAACACAGCAGCCGGCAACACTCCCAGCCCCTGGGATGAATCGACCTTCAGTCCGGAGCCCAGCAGAGTCATAAAAGGAGCAACAAGTCGTAGCTTAAATCCACACAGTGAAGCAATCTCGGTAGGAACTGCAAACTCACTCAGCACTGACCAGCCATGCAGAGACAGATACATGTGGTAGACAGGGCAACTAAGGGGACATGGCACACTGGCTTAGACCTTACACTAACTACCCAAGCTGGAAGGCTGCTCCACATGCTCTAAGCAAAGAATTTTGCCGTCCAAGCAGGAGCCAGCAAGCCACAGTCTGTGCTGGTGAATCAAATCCTAATGGAACAGCGTATCCATTCCTACAGGAGCCGCAACGGGAGCACCCTGCGAAGTTGAAAATGGTTCCCTTATTAGAAAAGAGCCCCCTCCTCTTCCTTCCCTTTGCTTAACCTAGCCATGGTCTGAAACATTAGCTGAACTCAAGAACCTAGTTCCCAAATATAAAGGCCAAAAACATAAATAATAACAAGAAAAATAAGGGAGAAAGAAAACAACCCATTCAACAAAAGGAAATCACGCCAGGCCTGGTGGTACACTCCTCTTACCTCAACACTCTGTGGGGGCAGAGACAAGCAGATCTCTTAAGTTTGAGGCCAACATGCTCTACATAGTAACTTCCAGACCAGCCAGAGCTACACACTGAGACCCTGTCCCAAACTAACAAACAGAAGAAAATCCTCAGGAGGGAAAGGATGGATGGGCTCCCTTAGCCGCTGAAGAGAACTCCCAAGGAGCCCTGCATCTGGCCAGATTCACTCTCCTGAGCATTTTAGTCAGGAGCCCCCAAGTAGGGTTTCGGCAGCAAGTGAGCATTTGGATAAAGTGGAATTGCAGTGTTTTTAGCATTTGCCGAGGGGAGGGGATGCTGTTTAGTCCACCCAAAGCTAAATTAGGTAGAAAGCATGAGAGCTTTTCACTTCTCCCTTATTGCAATAAGTAAGAGGGCTGATGCGTCCAAAGCAAGCAGTAATTTAGTCTGAGATCTGACCAAATCAGCAGCAGGTGTATTAATGGTGAAAGCGGGGGTAGGGGAGGGTCAAGGGGTGGGGAGGGACACGACGGAGACAGACATGGGTAGAGAGCAGAGGCCAAAGGAGGAAAGGAGATGGGGGGGAGAGAAACGGTGGAGGGGGAGAGAAGGGGAAAAAAGAAGGAGGGGGGGAAGAGGGGAGGGTGTGCTATCATAGGAGGGAAAGCGAGCGCTTCAGACACCCAGCATCTGAGAGATTTTTAAAGCCCAGCTCTGCCCTGAAAAAGTAACACTGAGAAAACCCCAGCAGTGCGCTCCAGTGGCCCCTCTGACACCATGGCCTTGCTGGACGGCATCCTGTCAGGGACTGCCCCTTAGACTGAATTTTTGTTCACATGATTCTTAGAAAATCAGTCTAAGCAATGTCAAAAAAAACCCTACAATTTTAAAGATATTAAAAATAATTTTACTGTTCAGTTTACAATTTGATTTTTTTTAAGGTGGAAAAAAAACCTACCTTACCTTTTACCTATATACCCTCCTCAATGTGCACACAAAAGAATACTCTAGAAAGAACAAGATATCAGTGCAGTGGGTCAGACCCCCAGCCAAGAGTCCCAGGGACAAGCTAAAACTTGTCCCGACTGCACTAGATGAGGACCATAACACAGTGGAAACGCCCTGTTCTTCCTACAGGGAGGCCGTGCCAGCCCACGATGCCAGAGCACGGTTTGAGTGTGCAGTCTGTCAGCTGCGGGTCTGGTGCGACATCCCAGCTGATCCCAGTACTGTCATGCTTGGTGACCTCGAGACTCTGATCCTTGTACACAGGAATAGGCTGTAAAATTCATTTCTCAAACCCTGGAGATGTTTTCTTCCCCCAAGGCTTGGGTCACCTACCATAAGCACTAGAAAGCAGCTCCACCTTAATCTGGAGTAAACAAACCCTCGAAACTGGCATCTGGTCTACACCCAAAGAATCTACAATTCAACCAAAGACTCTTTTTTTTTTTTTTAAGCTTCTTCATTCTGCTCCTACAAAGCACAAGTTAGGGGCGTCCCAAGCAGCATGCATCCTTTCAGGACCCCAACACTGAGCAGATGCCAAATGGTGGCTACACAGGGACGACGGGAACCACAGTGTTTAGAACACAAGAAGGGAGGAGGGGTGACCTTCGCAGCAATGTTAAACACTACCAACATCAAAGACCCCTCGTTAAACTTCTGCATGTTGGCAAGCAGTCTGCCACAGGCCAAGGGAGCAGCCCCTCAGCAGCTGGTCAGGATCTACTTATTGCGGTGAAGAAGCCAAAGAGCAAGCGCTCACCACAAGTCTCCTTCATGGCCCTGCCCTTCTTTACATGTATGCATGCCACACCACAGTTCCATGCCTGTAATACAACACTCAGGAGGCTGAGGCAGGAGGACTGAGTCCAAGACCAGCCCAGGCTCCATAGCAAGACCCTAACTGGGGGCAGGGTGTGAGGGGATACAGGGGTAAGGAGGGGAAAAAGGGAGGAAGGGAAAGAAGCAGCAGCTATGGCAGCAGCCACAGCAGCGACAGCAGCGCCACATTAGCACAAAAGCTTACAGGAGTCAGGCCACATGAGACAAGGTTAATCTGGTCACGAGCATCTGCAATGAACGTGGCATTTGCAATGAAAATGTCATTACACAGAACTGTGTAGATAACAGCAGCCACTCCTGTGGTGCCCAAGCATCAAATATGTCCAAAGATACTGCAATCAGATGTACTAAAGGATTCTTCTCTCCAGAGGAGGAAGGGTAAAGACATTTCTCCAGCTTGGCTCTCAGCATGAAACGTGGCCTTCCCAGTTCCCACTGGCGAGCTGTCTGCTGGATGTCCTAGCACACAGGCTAGCACTGGCCACAGGCTGAGTCCCAAGGCTTTGCATCTTTCTTGTCTTCTATCATGACCAGAACACTGGCTGAAAGGCAATTCTAGCACAAGTAGCTGTCTCCTCTCGCCTTTCCTGGGGAGGATGGAACCCACCCATCACCCCTTGGGACAGACAAAGCAAATATATACACTGAGGACAAATGCTTCTGGTTCTTCCACAACAAAGTCATTGCGGGAGGCTGTGATTTCTATGTGAAAATGTCTTTGAAAGCTTAGGACCAGAAGACGGAGGAACTGGCCACAGGCAGGGCTACCCCCTCGGCAACCTGCTCCCAGTTGCCTTTGCAGATCACCATGCCCTTGCGGTCCCCAGTGCTGCTTGTAAACAACCAAGAAATGTCTCACAGAATCAGGAAGTGTCCACTCTTGCCCTACAGAACACAGCCAGCCATCAAGAGGTTTCACTCATCAAGAGGTCTGGCGTTGCTGGTTCCACGATAAACAAGGTCACATCACAGTGTTTCAACACTGTGGAGAAGGGCCAAGAGGCCTCAGGTAGCCAGCTCCTGTCTCAACCTGAACAGGACAGTATTCATGGTAAGGTAGAAAAATACAAAAGGCGTATCTGACTCTGGGAAGTAACTCTCAGGCTACTTGACCCTCTGTGAGGCCATGAATGCTTCTGGCTTTTTCCTCAGGCAGACACAGGATTACTTGGCCTGCGCCTCCTGCAGCAGAGGGGCTTTGGAGGCAGACGGGCTGTCTGACCATGCAGGCAGCTCATGCTGCAGGGGAGTCCTCCTGGGGTAGAATGTGTGGTGGACATCGTAGTTCAGGAGGCAGCTCAGAGACGCCATGTAGATGTCAGCGAACCTCGACAGGCGCCTCAGGAAGTAGGTTGGATTCTGGTCTGTGCGGAACAAGCTCCCAAACTGGGCGTTGAAGAAACTTTTGGTCATTTCTCTAAAATTTCATGAAGGAAAAAGAAAGCAACAGAGAAAAGTTCTAAAGGTTTTGTTTGTTTTTTAAATACTTGAGTAAAAATATCTTTAAAACAAAACCTACTGCAGAGAAAAAGCAGCCAATTAGCCAAGGGAATACCTAGTATCAATCAAGAAAAACCCTGTGAGCCAGGTCTGTGGCCCACACCCATAATCTCAGCACCAGGGGCTGAGGTCAGATCAGGAAGCCAGCCTGAGCTACACAATGAGCCAGATATAGGGCTCATGCCTGTAACCTGAACACCAGGGGGCTGAGGTTAGATCAAGAAGCTAGCCTGGGCTATGCAATGAGACCCAGTCTTACAAAACAAATAAACAAACCACAGAACACCATCTGTCCAGCCAGCTCTCAAAATAGCCTTTACATTCCTGACTCCTGTGCCGGTTAACACACAGTTAACTCACTGTGAATTGTGTGCTCCTCCAAATGCACACTGCGTGCCATTCAGAGCGGGCAGAGCCGTTTTGGAGGTACTGAGCCAAAGAATTCTCCGTGTTGCCAAGAACTAAGCATAAAGTAAAATGCTGTAAAGCGCTCTCTCCTGGAGGAATTACAATTATTGTAATCACCACCTTCCAGTACAGACCGTCAAATGCTTGCACACCTCTCCTAGCCTATCCTGCAGCATCTTCAGTCAGTCAGTCACCAAAGCCCCGGTGTTTCCCCTCTGCAGTCAAACCTCTGTGCATTCTTATCAACATCCTCCACACAGACTTCTCCTGGATTAATACCATTTGAACAGTGTTAGATCCGTTACACACACAGGAAACTTAACTCACTGCACAACTATGCATCAGAGCCACAAACTAATAACCGTTGTCTGCTGTCACTGGAGACCGACGGATGCAACAACCAAATGACCATAGCTGTAAACACCCCAGCTAGGTCTCTGCAGGTGAACACCATAAATGGTATTGAAACTTTCTCTGCAACATCTCTTTATGATGTTGAAATGAAAGCCAGCAGGGGCTGGATAGATGGCCCAGTGACTAAGAACACTTTCTGTTCTTACAGAGGACCTGTGTGTGATTTCAAGTCCCTACATGGCAGCCCACAACTGTCCATAACTCCAGTGCCAAGGGATCTGACAAACTCTTACAGAGGACCCAGGTTGGATTCCCAGCACCCACATGGCAGCCCACAACCATCCATAATATCCAGGGAATCTGATGTCCTCTTCTGACCTCCTCAACCACAAGGCAAGGACGAGATGCAGACTTACATGCAGGCAAAACACTCCTACTCATAAAAAAAAAGATGTGGCGATGTGAAGCCAACAGGAAACCTCTGGCAGGTGAAGCTTCCTCAGTGAGCACTTTAGGTTCCTGGAAGTGAGTCACCCATGCACTGTAGACAGACCCCAGGCCTTCAGAGACAACCCAACCACATCACCCCCTTTCCTACTCTCCTGGACTCCACATTTTTACAGCAAAATAAGTCAAATCAGAATATGCCTGAGCTGCCCAACAGTCTGAGGAAGAGGCAAGGAAGAGACTTGACACAAACTTGGCCTTTGCAGAACACCTCAACATTCCTTGTTAACTCAGACTGCTGTCACTCAGGTACCAGAACCCCAGAAACAACTGGCTTCCAATCTCAGGCTATGCCAGGGCATGGGGCCAACCAAATAGTTCACTGAGTGTGAGAGCATCCATCAAGGGAAGGCTCCCTGTGGGCAACTGTCTCCCTAAGGACACACTGATGAAAATTCTGACAAGCAGAAGGCTTTCTTCACCAAGAAAAGCTGGGGGCACATTCCTGAAACAGCAGGAGCTAGACTGCAGGAGCCCTGAGGAGCCCTGTGTGTTCAGAGCCAGCCCCCAGTACTGTCCCAACAGCCAGCTACTGACAACTGCGCTGCTAGCCAAGGCCAGGAGGAAGACCATGGAAAAGCCACCTCTCACAAGGCTTTCAAAGGCAAAGACAGAGGACAGATGGAGATCGCAGCTGGCTTTGAAGAAACACCACAGGTCACCATCAGCCAAGGACTGATCCTGGGCACTCAGGAGTCACGGTCACACCTGGGAGCTAAAATAGGATGTTTCCTGATGTCACCTTGGATCCACAGCGCACACCAACGGCAGGATGGGTATCTGTAGGTGACGAACAGGACAGGCTCACCTCATCTCCTTCCTCTCCTTTTTCCACTCCTGCAAAACCAGCTGTGACTCGGTGTCTCTGTGGACCTGCAGGGACATAAGCCAACAGTTTCCAGGGCTCTGCTTTCAAACACACTTGTTAGCAGTAAGAGTTTCTTAATGGGCAACTTTTCATGAAGGAATCCTTCCTACTCCTCAGGTCTAACAGGTGGGCACTTGTGTGAAGTACCCATTTTCCCAAGAGAAAGCCGTGGGTGCCCTCTAACTTCAGGACCAGGGCTGGTGAGCTGGCTCAGGGGGTGAAGATGCCAAGTGTGATGTCCTGAGTTCAGTTCTGGGAGCTCAGAAGAAAATCACATCCTGTAATTTGCCTCTGACCTCTGACCTCCTCATGCTGACACATAGGCACCCTTTCCCAAGTAAATACAGTGTACAAGAAAAACAAAAAACGTAGAATGTCAGGACTGGCGGTAGAGAGGTATTCCATGGCTAAAGTCAAGCCTCTCTGTATCATTTTATGCTCTCAAACCCAGCTGCCTGTTCTCAAATGAGAAGTTACACCTGCACACAGGACAGCTGCCCGTGCAGACTGCGGTACACTCCACAAGCCTTCAGCACAGTGGCAGGCACAGGGGGAATGCTACTACCACCATGCCAGCATGTGACACAGCCACGGGCTCAGCTGAATTAGCCCAGACTTGACATCCGATATTTTTAGAAAATCACCTCACAGCACACACAGTAAAGAAAGCAAAACAAACCCCCCCAGGTCAGAAGAGCCACGAGCCAAGGTCCAAGAGTCTACCAGAACCCAGCCTGGAGGACGTGCTGGGCTCCATGGACTGGAATGTATACCCTGGGAGAGAGGACCTGGCCTGCCCTGCCTCTCCTCAAAGCTTGGCAGGAGAAGCTGTGGGCAGCGGGCCATGACCAGAGGCTTGACTCATTCGCACAGCATGGCCGGTTGAGAGGCATGAAGAGAGAATACAGGTGGCTCATGAGATGGGGTGGGAACAACCCCGGAACAGCTGTCACAGGTATAAGAGAGGGGCGACACCCTGGGCCAGGAAGTGAGCAGAACAAACGCTCCTGTCTTAACCGCCCCTCACTGGCTGCATGAATTATCACTGAAGTCCAGAAAACAGCCAATCACTAATCACATTGCCACCAGAGGCTAACCCAGGATCCCGGCTTGCTCTGGCCTAGGATGGCATTCCAAAAGAGCCTTCATTTTATAGATGGGGAAACTGAGGCCAGTACAGGAACATCCTCTGGTAATCTAAAGGCAAGGAGGGTGACCATGCATTAACAGTGGAGCCCCATGAGCCAATTTCCACCAACAGAGTCACAAAAATAGCTCCTGCATCTAAGACCCTGCAAGGCTCTCCAGGTGGCTCTCGGGAACAGTCGTAAAGGTCCCATCAAGGGGAAAGGACAAAATAACCACTAGTGACTCTACAGTCTGCTGATGACTTAGACCTTACACTTCATAATTACACGCAAACCACAGGACATCTTTCTGATCAGCAATTATCTTCAGGCTTGGAGGGGAAAAAGATGAGAGAAAACAAAACAGAAATAGTAGCCAACCTGCATCTGCTCCAAGAGCCCCGTCAAGGTCTGCAGCCAAGTCATGGTCTGGATGTACTGCTCCGTGTTCATGATTCTGAGCTCGGAACGGAGCTCGGGGATGATCGCCCCCGTGCGCCAGCCGTGCTTCAGGGTCAGATCCTGATCACAGAAACCACAGGGCAGGTGCTCCCTCAGTCCCCTTGGAACTCAACACCACACTACCTTTCCCAGACCAGGGAGGTATTTGCTCAGTCACTCCTTAAATTGTAATGGTTAGTTATTAACCAAGTTGAATGCAATGAATTACACTTAATTAAAACCAGTCTGGCCCCAGGCTCTGACCATGTCACCGGGAGAAAGTTCCTGTTCTGGAAATAATGGCTGTGATTCACAGCTGCTTCAGAAAGCGGGGGTGGGCGGGGCATGTAGGGTGATATGTGAGGGAATGGTGGTGGTATAGAACCACTAACCATGATCTGTCGGGGGAAAAACAAAACAAAACATGGTCTGTGAGATCAGAGTCAGCTCAACCCAAATGCTCTGAACGGTCCTCATTCAAGCTGAGTGAGGGGCCCCTGGCTGGAATCCTAGGTCAAGATTTCCAGGACAGCTAGAGCTATATACCATGAGATGCAGACTTTTAAGAGGAGCAGGGAAGGAGACCAGTGGTACAGAACCTGCCTGGCAAGCACAAGGTCCTGGGTTCAAACCCTAGTATTGCACAAGTGTAGGGAGTGTGCTTTATTCAATACCGCAGCACTTCCCGGACCTCTGGGGTACATCCACCACGCACCAGGCTAAGAAGCTGAGCTGGCTGTGAGCATTCGGATTAAAAGGGAAAGAAAGACCCCTGGCATTTAGCATATCGTAGTGCTTTCAATAGAATGTTTCTGATTACATCTGAGTACGTTTCTATCATCTCAAAGAGAGAAACAAAACCGCCTTTTCACAAATCTAATCACTCCTATTCTGTAAAAGGGAGACTTTCAAACTGTGACTCACTCTGAGTTTCTAAGAAAAACAAGGATGAGCTAACAGGAAAGAGAATGCTGCCTGATAGAGTGAGCACAGCGCCCCCCTCTGGGGAAAAGGCTCCTCACCGCCAGGTCGCTGTATATGTGGTCACCAAAATACAGTACTTTGGATCCTCTCCATCCAGTGAGCTTCAAAAATTCATACAAATTGCCCTGCAACGGAAGAGGAGCACAGATCAATATCAGGTCAGAAACCCAGGAGCCCATAGTCTATGATATCTGCTTTCAAACTTGGAAAAACTGTTTTTAACTCTTATTGTTTTAAATACCAACAAATAAAGCTAAAAGCACAGTCATGGAAAAAAAAATCAGTCAGATTTTTCTTTGATGCCAAATGTACTCTGAAAAAATTTCACAGTCATGCACGGTGGTGCTCGACTTTAATCCCTGCATTCAGGAGGCAGAATCAGGTAGATCTCTGTGAGCTCAAGGCCAGTGAGAATGTCTCAAAGGTAGTGAGAATGTCTCAAAAACAGCAACAACAAAAAGAACATTTCAGATTACATAAGCCTCTCTGCAGTTATCTTTACACTAACCAAACATGCCAAGACCATTATTCTATACAAATGACTTTTAATTCTATTATAGTTACCACCGATGAGTCCTTCTGCCAGTTCCCTGACGGTGAACACTTACAATGTCACCTATTTTGTAAACATTCTCACAGAAAGTTCTATGAGCCACATCGAAACCTTCTGACTCATTAGAAGTAAGATGTCTGAATTAAAACTAATTTTTATGGCCTCATTGCTAAATCCAGCAGGTGATTAAAAATCCACCAAGAACGTTCAGTCAAGAAAACAACTCTGGTGTCATGAAAATGACAGTCGAGTCGTGGTTGGAACTCCTGGCGGCCTCATTCCATGCTCAGGTACTTAAAACTGCACAGGAAATGGTGGAACTCCTGGCGGCCTTAGTCCATGCCCAGGTACTTAAAACTGTGCATGATATGTTTCTCAGCTGGAAATATGCTGGGTGAATAGACCAAGATTAGTGATTCTCAAAGACATCTCCAAGGTTTACTACTGACACTTTACATTTTATAGAGGGTAATGCCTTAAATGCTATTTGTTTTTAACTGCCAACATTGAGTTCATCTGAAATTATAATCTGCCAGTCAAGAGATTCGGCGTCCCGAGCACCCGCAGCCCTGGGACAACAAAGCAAAGCAACAGGGAGAAACTGGGGAAAGCGTGGATACCTGCTTGTAAATCTGGCCTTTCTGCAGCTTGTGGATTTTATCCCAGAGTAAGACACCTTTCTCATTCACCTTTCGGAAAGGTCTAGCAACAGAAAAGGGAAATGTTACTAGAATACATGGTAACAGTAAAGGTTCTCTGCTCCACGGGATACTAAGTCGGAAATCACTGAGAACAGGAAGTAGCTAGCTCTTGAACTCCAAACAGCATCCCCTAGCCCAGGACACCCCATTCACACTACACAGACCCCACTACAGACCCACTACACACAAGTAGGTGATGAAGAACAAGGAAAAAAAAGAAAAAAAGAATTCTAGGGCCAACCACCAGTGGCAAGCACAAGCCCTTTAGTCAGGTTTCCCTAGGACAGTGGTTCTCAACCTTCCCAACACGGTGACCGTTTAATACAGTTCTTCATGTTGTGGTGAGGAACTCACCTACTCACCACAAAATTATTTGTATTGTTTCTTCATAACTGTTATTTCGTTACTGTTATGAATTGTAAATGTGACTCTGTGTGAAAGGTCACGACCCGCTGTCCTAGGACATTTGGCAGGGCACAGAGCGTCTGCTTCACAAGGCGAAGCCTGAGGAACACTGCTGCCTGCAGGTGTTATGGGAGGACTCTGGCATCCTGGGCCAAATGCCAGCTGGGGCAGGAACAGTAGCTCTGCTGAGGCCAGGAGCAGGGCTGTCCCGTCCCTCAGCCCAGGGCACAGCCAGTGGGACTTAGCGTGTCTTTTTGGGTAACTGTTTCTCCAGTCACAGAAAGAGACGCTCACTATAGATACTGGAGCCCACGTTCCCTCTTCTGAGGAACATGAAGGTCATTTTGTGCACTTTTATCTATATCCCTTTCCCTTTGATCCTGTCAGCAGCTTCTCGTGTGACATCAGAGTCTGAGACATGCTAGCAGTAAGATATGCTGGCTGTTTCTGCTCACTAAGTTCGGCATCTTTGGTGGCTGCGTAACATTCCCTCACATGGAGATTCTGAATGACGAGTCATCCTCAATAAACAACAGAAGGAAAGGGGATGTCTCCGCCATTATTCCAGACATCCAGAACAAGGAGGGAAAAACAAAACAGTGGTAGGCTGAGTCCCTCCCACGAAGAGCCCAGACCCGACCCCTCCACCTTGACTAAACTTTTCAGAAGGGCCTGGGTAAAGGGAGGGCCAGGCTTCACAGGAGCCCTGTGAAGACTCTAAAAGCAACATGGCCAGGGTGTAGCTTCCGACTACACTCAAGACTCAGTCTCTCTCTCTATGCTCAGTTCAGAGCTTGCCTCTTCTTCTCAGAGTCACTGTGACTCTGAGAACTTAGCACCCCAATGGTACAACACATGCTGCCCTAACTTCAGACACCACATTAGGATCCTTGGAACTACCCAGAGCTAGGTCACCAGCTACAATGAAGGGTGCTGGTCACCAACTACAGATTGGGGAAGGTCTGAGAAAACCCTTCCCAAACTAGGCCATGGACAGACAGAAGCCCTTCCTAGAATGCTATCCATCGTAAGAACCTTCAACTATGTTGGCCTGTAGGAGTTGGCCACCTAGTCTGTCCCTAGGGTGGAGGGTACTTTAATACTCTTCCACTGATCCTGACTTCTTCCCTCCCCCCCCAAAGCCCAAGAGGCAGGAGGACATTATATAAGACACGGCTAAGACTTGCACCAGGATGCAGAGAATTCTGCAAAATCCAACTGCAATTTGAAATGCACTAATTAGCTGTTTGAAGAGCTGACACCAGGCAGTCTGGCACTGGTGGGGTTCCCTTACACCCCACGAGGCATCCGGAGCCCAAGCCTACTCTGCTGTGTGGCGTTCATCCTTGTTCTCCAATGTAGTCTCAATCCCTAACGGCTGACTCAGAGCCGCAGCAGCCCACTCTCAGCCGAGGCACTGCCTGCTACGTGCCCGTCCCGCCGGTTCTGAAGCTAAGTGTTAGACAGGTCACACGTGAGAAGCTATGCCTCGGATACTTGTGACTCTGCGACTGGCTCTACTATGCCTGTATTCACAAGTACAGTCGAGTCCCCCCCCTGCCCCCCCACACAGCCTGGCCCTCACCTCCGCTTGTCGTTGAAGAAGTTCGGTTTCTCGGCCTGAACAATGACCACATCGAACAGGTCCCGCCAGTCCTTCCCCACGATGTACCGCATCCCTTTGTCTCTGGAACAAGGCAGCCAGGTGAGCTGACATCAAAGGGATGAATTTTTTTTATTTTCTTGCAAACTATTTCTTTCCAGCTACTAAAATGAATGGCATTTGACGCATGAGGCAACAGCTGCAGAGGGAAGACAGAACTTACACGAAGCTACTTGGGCTATTGGTAATGAGGAACATCTTCTTGCCGTGGGCAGCCAGTTTAGCCAACACTGCGCGGGTCTGCTCAGCATAACAGATGTACTTTTCTATGAACGAGAGAGAAGTTCACACAGTCAGGACGGAATCAGGCACTTGAGAGATGGGCACCTAAAGTAAGCAGTATCCTAGGCACAGTGGAGAAACTCAGGAAGATTGATTCTGGGAAGTATGTGACTGTCCAGTGCACAGGAAACAAAGACTACCCCTCCCCCACACACACCCATTGAACTGAGGGATAATATGGTACAGCTGCCATCCTCTCTTAGACTTTGACAGACACCAAGTTCTAGAACAGAGCAGACATGTACTGCCAGGATCAGGGGCCTTAAACAACCCTCAGCAAACACCCGTGGTCCCTGCTCAGTCCCCGGGGCAATGCTTAAATGCCCACAGGCCAGCACAGCACGTGCTGCTGAGTACATACCAATGTCCGCTTCGATTGCTCGGTACATTATTCCTTTGATGTGGACGTCCCTTATGGAGTCCTGTGGAAAGGCAGATTCGTCATCAGTGAAAAGGAGCTGGGCAAGCCGGAGTTATCACCACTGGCACAGCTTCGAGCTCACTTCCTGCCAGTCCACCGTCTACACATCCCAACGCTAGCCCACTTAGCCCAGGAGGCCTCTAGGGAAAGCTTGTGTTTCCACAGTGATGGAGGCTGTTGCCAATACAATTTCCAAGCGCCTCCTTTGAAAAGGTCATTTGTGTAATTCTGAATGAGGTGGCACAGGACAGACAGCCTGCAGGAGGGAGTCCCTGGCTGCACCCTCATGCCCTTCCTTCCTCACCTCTACATGCAAGCCGTTTTGTAAGGCCAGGCAGAGGCAGAGGCAAGGAGTAAAGGCAGGGGGACAAAGACACTTCCTCTCTCAATGGAGTGACAGTCCAACTGGCAGATGCAGGAAAGAGGGAGAGAGACAGAAAGTCCATTGCAGACTCAGGGCTGTGCCAGCACGGTGTCACCAGACATCACTGCACAGTTCTGCTTGCAGGCTGGAAGATGTCTAGCAGCCCTTTTTAGACTCCTGGAGTGCTATAGAGACTTTCTAGTACTAGTAGCAGAGGTCTAAGTCTTACCTTGTTAGTGGACTTCTGTCAGAGTGGACCACTCTGGGCTATAAACTTAAATCTCAATTACCTTCAGCATAAACCTATTTCAGTTTTACCCAACACAGATGGCAATGAATGGTTAAACGCAAGCTAAACTGCCTGGATTAAGAATCTAGGCCCTGCTGTGTGACGTTAGGCAAGACAGTCAAGCTTTCTGTGCAAAGGCTTGAAGAGTTAACATAAAACAGCCAGAATAGAGTCTGAAGCATCATCAACTCTATGCAAGTGCTTGCTGTTGGTGGGAGCAATCCCTGGAGGACAAACTGAACCTTCACGTAAACATTTCTCCTCTGCTGCAAATGAGTCTTAAGTACAGTGTCTGTATGCATAAAAGGAGAACTAAAAACTAAATATTTAAACTTAGCCCCATTTTTTTTTTTTAATCAAAGTGATGCTTAGAAAGTACAAGGCACCCTCAACTCCAAAACCTTGAAATCAGGACAGTAAAAACTTACACTGGATGAGGGGACTCGAAAGACGGCTCCGTGGTTAAGAACACTGGCTGCTCTTCCAGAGGGCCTGGATTTAATTCTTAACAGCCATGTGGTGGCTCTCGACAGACTAGGGCGCCAGGCACACACACAGGGCACAGACATAAATGCAGACAAAACACTCATAAACACACACACACAAGCCTTTAAACCTGGCACTCAAGAGGCAGAAGCACTCTCTGTGAATTCAAGCCCAGCCTGATTTACACGTATCAAGTTCCAGGACAGCCAGGGCTACACAGAGGGACCCTGACCCAAAAAAATAATAAAAACAACAAAATTTACACTGGCCATGAGTGTACAATAAAGATTTTGGTATAGAAATACCTTTCTTTGGGGGTCTGAGAGATGGCTCAGTGGTTAAGAGCGCTTACTGTTCTTCCAGAGGTCCTGAGTTCAGTTCCCAGCACCCACAATGGGATCCGATGCCCTCACATACATAAAATAAATTAATTAATCTTTTTTTAAAGATTAAAAAAATAAATGCATATCTTTAAAAATATATAAATATTTTAATTAGTTGTCTCCAGCGGACTCTCACCGGGTATATCATCCACATGTAACGGTAGGCCCTAGCATAGCAGTGGATGGCCAAGCAAACTGACCTCATGGTATTGCTGTAGACTTTTGTCTCATTGCTTTGTTTGGGTGTGTTTTGTCTTAACTGGTCTTTTGTCTGTAAATTATGGTTTCTCATCTTGTGTTTTTATTGACTTCGGTCGTGTGTATGTGTGTATGTGTGTGTGTGTGTGTGTGTGTGTGCGTGCGTGCGTGCGTGTGTTTTAACTCTGTTCTTTTGTTGTTAGCCTCTAAAGAGAGAAAAAAGGAAGAGCTGGGTGAGGGGAAGTCATGATCAGAATATATTGTTTGAAAAATAGTTTCAATTAAAGGAAATTGTGGCTGTGGCAGACACGGGAGTCCAAGCCCATAATGCCAGCACTCAGGATACAGACGCAGGCTGATCTCCTAGGGTTCAAGGTCTGTGAGGCCTACAGAGCAAGTTCCAGGCCAGCCAGGGATACAGAGTGAGACCCTGTCTCAGAAAAAAACAAAAAATAAAACAAGCAACAACAATAACTATGGCTGTGAAAACATGTAATAGATAAATTAAATGGAATTATTGCTTCAAAACACCACATACACCACAAATACACATACACACATATATACACACACAAAGAAACACATACACACATTTTTAAAAATCACATTTGCATAAAGCTAACACTGTTTGAAACATTACTATGTGCAAGTTATTGTGCTATTTTACATATGTTCTTCAGACCCCTAACAATCATGATGGGTAGGTACTAAATGTTCATTTACTACGAAAATAAATGAATAAATGTGACTTTGAACATGAAATAAAATACACAGACTTATAAAACATGCAAATGTGCACCTAAGGGTCGTATCTGTCTGTGGCCCTGCAGTGGGGTTCTGACGTGACTTTTGCCAGCCTTTGCAGATATGAGGAAAAGGTTCCCTATTAACCAATCTCTCCCCGCCCCCCAGCCTCATTCGTGGCATCATGACGGGGTACAGCGTACACCAAGCACACCACAGCCCATTAAATGTGTGCCATTATGTTCTGCCATTTAAAAGTATGTATTTAAAAAGGGCTTCCTCTGGGTGACTTCTGCATCACAGGGAATGGGGCATGGGCAGTGGTCTCTCCTGTGTGAAGGAGATAACCTCCTCATGCCAGGCTTGGGTAGGAGGGCAGGCAGGACTGCCAGAAGATTAGAAGTCCAGGTCACAGCGGGCATATCTGTGATAGAGCATGCTGCCCCAATTGTCCTGATGAGTCTGAAACAGCTGTGTCCCTTTATGACCTCCACTGTCAGTCACAGAGACAAGTGAGCCCAGAGCGGGACTACTCGAACCACCACACACACACATACATACACACACCACACAAATACACACCACACAAATACACACACCACACAAATACACACCACACAAATACACACACGTAACACACAAATATACACACACCACACAAATACACACACACCACACAAATACACATACACCACACAAATACACACACACCACACAAATACACATACACCACACAAATACACCACACAAATACACACACTACACAAATACACCACACAGATACACACACCACACAAATACGCATACACCACACAAATACACACACCACACAAATACACACACCACACAAATACACACACCACACAAATACACACACAACACATCATAAATATACACACACACCACACAAATACACACACCATACAAATACACCACACAAATACATACCACACAAATATACATACCACAAAAATACACACACCACACAAGTACACACACAACACATAAATACACACACACACACACAAATACACACACACACAACCCTAGACAGTAGCCAGCCTCCTCTTGGAAGCCACAGGGTCACAAGCTGCCCTCACCCTGCCCTCTGCCCTCACCTTGACGTCTTTGTACAAGTGCACAGGTTCATAGTCAATGTTGTTCTTCAGGAAGTGCTCGTTCACACAGGACAGCAGGGTCATCTCGGGCAGTGAGAAGATGTCCATGAACTGTTTCATGGTGTTCCCGTGAGAACTCTGCAGAGGGAAGGCAGACTTAGCCATGCAGACCCACCCGTCTCACAAGGTGACAAGCGGCAGAGGGCTGCCGGGAAGTCAGGGGTTTCAGGAGCCCACATCTGGCTCCCTCTGCACAGAGGGACCTTCTAACAGTGAGACTAATATGCTCCCTTGTTCTTGAGCCTCAGTGGAAGCCACTCTTTCTAGGTACACTTAGCTATTCCTTCCCTCCTGCCTTTCCTTCTTTCCTTCTTTCCTTCCTTCCTTCCGTCCCACATTCACATCCCACTCCCTCTCTGAAGATCACAGAGGTAAGAAAAGCTGGGGTCAGGCCCAGGCAGCCATAGATATCAGTCTCAGAATGCTTCAGCCCACCTCAGGACATACAGCTCCTCTGGCAGCCCCTAGTGACTTAGACCAAAAGGAGGGGCCACACCTGCCCCAGGATGGTAACAAAAGGGATAGATAAGAGAAGATGGAAAGACAGTCTCCCAGAGAGGGAGAAATCAACAACGCCAGGGCCTCAGCTAGAGCCCATAGTGGCTCTTCAGCACTGTAGTCCCTGACATCTACAATCCCTCCAGACTCAATTTCCGGATTCCAGGAATCACACACAGCAGGCGAGCCCAACAGCTAAAGGTCTTTAGCTACACATGCCCCTTCCCCAAAATGTCATGAGCTCAAGGCTTGGCTCTTACCAGTTGGTGCTACAGCACAGTCACCAGGTCCTAAGGCTGTTACTCGAATCAGGAGACTAATGTCCTGACTAACTCACAGCTGACTATCAGGAACCAGGGCTCAGTCGTAGAAAGATGTATCTCTGCCCCCAAAGCCTTAGCTTTCTCCTCCCTCTGCTCCCCATTTTCCTGCGCCTCACCCTTCTAACCAATGCTCTGCCTCACCATAGACCTGGATGCCCCAGAGCCAAGACCTCTAAAATCAGACACTAAAGTAAGTCCTTCCTCCCTAAGATGTTTTCCCAGCCACAAAACTGCCAAGCAGAGAAGACAGCTGCTTCAGTGAACCGGTGTCTTTCCTCACCTTTCCATAGAAGTCACTCATCTGCTCCAAGGGCACGTGGGACCCCTCGTACATGTCTATGACTTCTTCATCAGGAACAACACTGAGGCCTCTGCAAAAAATACAGATGCTCAACAGAAACAACCAGTGACTCTGGACTTCCGGCTACTGATGGGGTTTTCCCACTATGGCCAGAGACTTGTTATCCTCATGAGACAACCATGCCACAGCAGCAGTTGCAGCCAGAGGGCGGGATGTTACTGTTCAGCCTCTGTTGCTAACAAGATCCAGATTTACGCCCAGCAGTGGTGGTGGTGGTGGGCACCTTTAGTCCCAGCACTCAGGAGGCAGAGGCAGCCTGGTCTACAGACAGAGTTGCAGGGCAGTCAGGACTACACAGAGAAACCCTGTCTCAGAAAACGACAACAAACAAAACAGATTTACACCAGTAACTAATCCTACTTCACACCTCCAACATGCCAAGCAGTGTTACACACAGGCACTCAAATACTTGTCACCCGTCCTAGGGGTCGGTATTCTTTCCACAGGAGTAGCCATGTGTCTTCCTCAAAGTTAGCAAAGTAGAAAGCAGCATGTAGGATTTAAATCCTGGGTCTCTCCAGCTTTCAGCCCACTATGGTGGAGGGCTTTGCAAGGACTTGCTCTGGGCCAGAGTGTTTCACACACGTGAGGAGGGTTGTTCCTGTTCTAACTCATTTTTCCTTCATTACTGTCCCCTACATTGTGTGCTGAGGTGGAAAAAGTCACACAGGAGCTGTCCTCCTTCTTGGTACATCCACCATCTGCTGGCCCCTGGAACTTGCAAATGAGCCCAGTTCCTGCATAGCCAGTGAATTCTCGACTGTCATTCTGGCCTCTGCCACCAGCATGCTGAGCCAGTGCCACATGTTCACCTGGAGTTGCCCACCCCAGAGGGCTGCTCTTCCACCCTTCTCCATCGGTGAGCACTTGAGAAGAAAACCAGTAACTAGGAAACCACAGAGGGCCTGGCTGCCTTCCACAGGGGCAAGTCAATCAGCAGGGGTTCCAACAGGCTGATCAGGTACAAAGCCTCCTGATACTGAGGTGCACACACTATGCAAACCCGATACTGAGGTGCACACTCTATGTAAACCCAATACTGAGGTGCACACTCTATGTAAACCCGATACTGAGGTGCGATGTCGTTTCTGCTTTGATATGTGACACCCTCCTATCTCCACTCCCATTAGGTTTAAAAGCACCCCATTGCAGTCACTGACATTTTGCCTGACTGATTTGTTACAACTGTTGGCCTTTTGAAAATAAACGAATGCTGTCCTCCAGCAATCAGATAAGGCGCTGCTAGCTAAGCAGAGCGTTCTAGACTGACCTTGGAGGACAGCTCTTGCAAAGCAGCCATCTACAGAGCCATACAAGGAAAGGAAGCAAGCAAAAGCATGAGGGGAACCAGGAGCTGAGGGCTGAGGCTTTCCTCCCTTCCCCCCCCTCCCCGAGTCCCTGCCTCCCCAACCCCTACAGGCCTGACCTTGCCCTTGGAAGCCAGTGCTGCCGCTGAATGAAACACAAGTCCAAGGATGTAACCTACAGCAGATCTCAAAACAGAGCACAACTGACCTCGCAGGTTTCTTCCCACTGTTTATTCTTGACTAGTTCAGAGGGGAACAAGAAATGCACTTTTGCCTGCCCATCCTGCAGACCTCCACTCCACAGCCAGCTGTACAGAGCAGGCTCTGGGGCCAGCCATGTTACAGAGAAACCAAGGCTTGCAGAGCATCAAGAGCCTGCAGAGACCAGTGATGCACAGGCAGCAAAGAGGAAGTGAGGATGACCCGAGCAAGCCACCCTGGATAGTAACTCTGCCAACACAAGGGACTTGGACACATAAACAAAGGGGACAACAGGGATAGAGGCAGGGTGAGGAGGGCCTGGCATGGACCAAGGAAGGAGCAGGGCCACTTCAGGCCAGGAGGGTGAAGCAGGACAGACACAGTGGGCCATAGATGGGGATAGGAAAGGGGGATTTCCAGAAAGCAAGGAGAGGGGAGAGGAGCATGAGTCAGCCACTCCCTATGCTAATGGTATGAAGCTTTTCCCTCTAGAGCTGAGGCTGGGAGATGTAAACTTGCATTGCTTGAGAACACCAAGTCAGAGAGGGGCTCCAAGACAGAAAGTCAGGAAGTCCTTACCACACAAGCATGAGGAGCACAAGTTGATGCCCGTAACCCACATTTAACAACAATGACAACAACAGATAGTATAAGCTGGACACGGCAGCCCCATGCCTATAACCACACCAGTGCTACGGAAGAAGAGACAGATGGACGGACCCCTGAGGCTTGTGACCAGCCAGTCCAGTCAAATTAGTGAGCCTCAAGTTCAGGGGGAGACCCTGTCTCAAAAATAAAGTGTGACTGAGAAAGACACTTGATATTGACTGCTACACATAAGCACACACACACAAACACAAAATGAAAGCACACAGACACGCACATGAGAAAGAGAGGTGAACTCTGACAAGATCAATTTCAAGCTCAAAGTCAGCCATGCCTATATCCAGATCTGTCCCTAGACTTCAGTCAGCAAAGCCATGTGGTTTCTTATTATTAAACCAGTTTGTGCTTGTTTTCAGTTACTCAACTCCGAGTCTTAATGAACCCAAGTAATTTTAAAACTTATGTAGAAACAACCAAGAATTGAAAACAGGTAGAATAAAAAGCCTAAAACCTAGCCATATGCTGAAGACTTCAAGTGCACTGTGGGACACTGGTAAAAGAGGAGAGTCACATGTCCCTGAGGTCAGGGAGGAAACAGAGACCATGGTGGTTTGAAGAGGAATGGCCCTACAGACTCATGGGTTTGAATGCTTGGCCAAAGGAATTGGCACTATTAAGAGGTGTGGTCTTTTTGGTGGAAATGTTTCACTGTGGGGGCGAGCATTGAGGTCTCATTCAATCATGCTATACCTAGTGTGACACACAGTCAGTCTCTTTCTGCAGTTCTCCTTCTCCAGAACCACGTCTACCTGCATGCTTCCATGCTCCCCACATAACGATAAAGGATAAACCTCTGAAGCTATAAGCCAGCCCCAATTAAATGTTATCCTTATAAGAGTTGCCTTGGTCATGGTGTCTGTTCACAGCAGTAAGACCCTAACTAAGACAGAGATATAGAAACAAAAGGAAAGATCAGCCGAGGCCTTTCCTAGCACTGGCGACCCTCAGTTCTGTGACAGTTAATATGGGTCTGAACCCTGGAACCAACTCCACAACGTTGTCCTCTGACAAAACCTGCCCTGAGACAAGCAGCCAGGCTAGATCACAACAAGAGAACAGCATCTGTTTTTGTTGTTGTTGCTGTTTTTAAAAAAAAGAAAAAGAAAGACAAAGAAAAACACTTAAGTTACTGGAAAATAATCATGTTTGACCCATTTTGAAAAAGCAGAGACACCTGGGCAGGAAAAGAAACAAACGAAAAAGAAGTTATTAAGTTTATGGAAAAAGCAAACAGCATACAAGGAAGATCAGGGTGCACGTCTCCGCCTGTGAGTCCTTGGGTGAGACCTTAGGAGTCAGCACAAAGGGCAGCGTAACAACTGATGTCTAAGGACAGGGGGCAGAGAACCAAGAACTGTGGCCACACTGTCTAGAAACTATATACGTGTGCATGTGTGCATGCACGGAGAAAAGACGACACAGGGCTGGCGGCCCTGCACCTTCACTGCTGTTCACGCCTACCTGCACACCTGTTTTACTGTTGTAGGGAAAAATACAACAGAGTGTATGAGACAAGAATCTAAACTATAGCACGCATGCACACATGCTTTTTAAAGTGGAAGAGACAAACTAAGTACATACAGACCTCCCTCCCGGACCCCTCCCCAGTAAGAAAATGTCAACAGATAAAACCTTTCATTTCAACAGTGAGAGATCTCCACCTAAACAAAGTATTTCTACAAATTCTAATAAGGAAGAAAGGGAGTCTTAATATCCAACACCTTAACCATCGTAGTGAGAATGAGATGCTCCCCGCCCCGCCCCAGCACCTCAGCCCTTCTAGGCCTGCTCCCAGGACCCCTCTCTGCATCCCAGCCAGCCTCCTCCTGATGGCTGCCCATGACCTGAGGGCATGTATACCCAGCATCACCAGCCACTCTGGGCTGTACTGCTCACTCGTGTGGCTTCTCACCCACTCTCAAGCCCCAGAAAGCATCTCTGTAGCCAAACCCGCAGCACTGGCGTGTACCAGGCCTCGACACACATGTATTCCTGAACAACCCAGGGAGTGGCAGAGGTGTGATTTACACACAGCCACTTCCCACAACCCCGGTGAGTTAGCGGGACCTGAGATGCAATGCCCCAGCTTACACCTGTGAATGACCCATGGCTTACCTGTACACCGTTCCCATCTGGATGTAATGAAAAGCATCGATCTTCATCAACACTGCCTTTAAGAACATAAACACGGGCACACATATGAATAACAATCTGCATACAAATGGAACAAACCAAGGGTTGCTATAAATCCTGACACTATTACGTTTCCCGAACACAGTGGTTCTCAACCTTCCTAATGCCGCGACCTTTAACACAGTTGTTGGGAGCCTAGCCTTTAATGCCGAGTCATCTCTCCAGCCCCAGTCCCTCATGTTGGGGTGACCCCCCAACCATAAAATTATTTTCCTTGACACTTCATAACTGTTACTGTTATGAATCATAATATAAACATCTGTGTTTTATGGTGGTCTTAGACACTGCCAAGCCTGTGAAAGGATCATTATGTCTCAAGGGGGTCACAACTCACAGGTTGAGAATCACTGCATGTGGTTCCCAAAAGCCTTGCTTGCTAACTGAGGTGCGTTTTAAGGAAATGGTATATGAGCAAAAAAGAAAAAGGAAAACCCATGACAGCTAGCTCCCCCTCCCACGTTACCAGCATTAGCTGGCACTCCCAAACAGCACCCTGACTGCAAGCCTTCCTAATGCCTCTTCCAACTGGCTCTACCAAATATACTCGGATCATCTGGTTCTGCAACCCCAAAGAACTTCATTCCAAACCATTCCTCAAGGAAAGTGCCAGTGGTTTTACTGAGCAGCGCTTTCCTTCCAAACACCAAGAAAGTACAGAAACACAGGAGAGCAAACTCACCCGCTGCACGTCATAATGGAGTCCCCGGATGGCAAAGTTTGGGTCATACTCATACTTCCTGATCTCCGCAGGATACTGAGAGAGAAGAGAGGACACATGGCTTAGCAAAGGACAAAAGAAGATAATGGGCATGAGGGTGCATGCCTGGGACCCCAGCACTCACAAAGTTGTGGCAGAAGGATCAGGAGTTCAAAGTTATTCTCGGCTACACATTGAGTTCAAGGACAGCCTGGGCTACCTGAGTCCCTGTCTTTAAATTAGAGAAAAATGAAGAAAAGGAGAGCACTAGGTTCAGGACAGGCACGGATCTGCCCCTGTACGGAGGCTTAAGAGTCATTATATTCTGATGCCAGCAGGGACAGACCACAACTTGGTCCTCTGTGTCTCCATCCTGCTCTGAGCCCTGTTTGTCCAGGATGAGATCAGACTTCATCCCCTTGAACGAACCCATTTGCACATCTAACACCATCATGTAGAGCTCTGCAATAGGCAACCTTAACTGTCAGCCTGATAGGATCTAGTATCACCATGGAAACAAACCTTTCGGCATGTCTGAGGAGCTTCTACATTGGACTCATGGAGGAGCAAAGACTAGCTTAGATATGGGCGACACCAGGCCACAGGACTGAATGAAAAAGAGTGAGCTGGCCACCAGCATTTCTTGCTGCATCCTGACTGCAGATGAAATGTGACCAGCCTCCACCAGCCTGGAGGTAGGTACTGCTCCAGGTCCTCTGCTATGACGGACTGTACCCTTCCTTCCTATCCTTGCCAGGTATTTTGTTACAGCTTGGCAATATTAACCAATAGAAGCTGCCGATTTCCATGACATCCAGATGAGGTCACTTCAGGAGGAGTGTCCGTACAACTCCCACTATGCTCGCTGCTCTCGCCCAGCTGTGCCAACTGGGGAACGCCACAGCTGCTGTCCCAGGGAACTGTCTCCCTGTGGCTCCCATCCACTTCCACTGCCCTGAGAATACATGGAGCTGTTGGAGACAGCCTGGTGTCGGTCGTTTCCTAATTGCATATCCTCGATCACGTTATACAAAAATGTCAGTCTCTCCTCTATATTGCATAAGCATCCAGGACCTTCCTTCCCCCAGACCCAGAGCTGAGAGCACCCACCCATCAGCTTCTGCTGCCTGCCTGTTGGTGCTGCCATGCCCATTTTACAGAAAGAAAAGCTGGGCAAGCATCAAGACCCCCAGTGAGCCTGCCAAGCCACTCTGCTCTTGGCTCCCTGGAACCACCAAGCACCACTTGCCTGAAGGCACATGGCAAGTTTTCAAGTCAGGCTGCACAAAGCACTGACTTAAATGTCACATTTGGGCTCATTTATCTGGCACCTGTGTGTGTGCCAAGAAATCCCCAACCTGATATTTCTCCCCGTGGGTGTTCTCAAGACTTCTGAACACCATGTACAGTTCTACATATTTACTGAGATACTTGCCAAAGCCCACACTAAACCAGCCATGGTGATATGGTTCTGCTCACTGAATGGAGGTCAGAACTGCAGTCAGAAGCCTCCATTAGCCTGGGGGTGGTGTGGGGAAGACTCACAAGCATCTCCCAGCCAGCCATGCTAAGCTCACTGCCCAGCAAGAGAAGACAGAGCCTCCTGCTTGTTTATGGCTCAGAGTTCTGAGGATTATAGTCAGGAACTTGCCCAGGTCATCAAGCTGCACAGTGGTTGAGCCTTGGATCTGTGTCACATCCAGTCTACCCCTAACCACCTACTCCATCCTCAATTAGCCCAGAACCTGTCTTAGGGTTTCTATTGCTCCATAAAATACCACGGCCAGGGTCTGGAGAAATGGCTCAGTGGTTAAAAGCACTGGCTGCTCTTCCAGAGGTCCTGAGTTCAATTCCCAGAACCTGTATGGCAGATCACAGCTGTCTGTAACTTCAGTTCTAGGTGATTCAACACCTTCATACAGACATACGTGCAGATAAAACATCTATGTATATGAAATTTAAAAACAAAACAAAAACCCACCATGATGACTGTCTTAAGCCAGGGTTTGTATTCCTGCACAAAACATCATGATGAAGTTGGGGAGGAAAGGGTTTACTCAACTTACACTTCCACATTGCTGTTTATCACCAAAGGAAGTCAGGACAGGACACAGGACAGGAACTTGGAGGCAGGAGCTAATGCAGAGGCCATGGAGGAGTGTTGCTCACTGGCTTGCTCTGTTTGCTTTTTTACAGAACCCAGGACCACCAGCCCAGGGATGGCATCATCCACAATGGGCTGGGCCCTCCCCACTTGACCACTAGTTGAGAAAATGCCTTACAGCTGGATCTCATGGAGGCATTTCCTCAAAGGAGGCTCCTTTCTCCGTGATAACTCCAGCTTGTGTCAAGTTGACACACAAAACCAGCCAGTACAATGACCAGAAGCAACTTGAGGAGGAAAGGGTTTATTCCATTGTCAAGGGACATCAGGGCAGGAACTGAAAGCAGGAACTAAAGCAGAGGCCATGAGGAACTTGCTCAGCTTCTTTTCTTCTAGCACTCAGGAACACATGCCCAGAACTGAAGCCCAGAGGTAGAACCCAGCTCTAGAAGCTGGGCCCTCCAGCATCAATCAGTACTCAATAAATGCCCTATATACTTGCCTACAGGTCAACCTGATAGACGCAGTTTCTCAAGTGAGTTTCCTATTCCCAAATAACTCTAGCTTGTGTCAAGTTGACAAAAATCTAACCAGTATAGCCCCTCTCCTTCCAGGCAGTGGCTACCAAGTCAGAAGCACAACAAGGTGACTGGAAGCATTTCCACACAGTTGAAAAAAAAATGTCCCTGGCCTTGAGGACAGAGGACAGACAGAAAAAGCTGAGCCCCAACAGGACAAGGCTTGAGGAAAACCAGGGGAGCAGGCTAATAAAGCCCAAAGTCTCCCCTGTTCAGGACAGCCCTAGTAACACTAATTCCTCAGTGCAACAGAAGACTCAGGCAGCCCCCCACGCCTGGGTGACTCTGACAGCACTGGAGCCTGGCTGTGTTCCACCTCTGTGGCTAACTGCAGCTCTCTGAATGGCTAAGAGTTTCCACAATGCAGCAGGGAATTTCAGAAGTACAGATGCCTGTAAATGTACTAGTCTTTCAAAGCTTTTAGTCTGGTCTTACACAGAGCCTGGATTGTGAGTCTAGCTGAAAATGAAGCTCTTCCAAACCCCACAAAAGAGGAAGCAAAGACAGAACCACCTCCACAGAGTGCTGGCCCAAAGAAAGCTCTCAGCTACCGGCAGAGTGTACCTCAAGCATTTGTTGAGCACATACTTTGTGTCAAGCACTGTGCCAGGACAGAGAATACAAGGGACAGTCTCGGTTCCAAGAAGTTCCCCTCCACCCCGGGAACCAAGTGATTCGGAAGTGAACACTCCCGGAACACAATGCCTCACAGTGATCCATGCTATAGAGAGCCCAGTGTGCAGGCCAGACAGCTGAGAGGAACTACAGCCAGCCCTGTGCTGTCTGGGGCAAGTGAGGAGACCATGGAAGGGAGCACTGGCAGGCCTATTAAAAATTCATTTTCCAGAATGGAGAGACAGCTCAGGGAAGTGTCTGTTGCTCTTATGTTTACTTTTTTTGTTTACTTGTTTGTTTGGTTGTTTTTGTTTTTGGCAACAGGGTTTCTCTGTATAGTCCTGGCTGTCCTGGAACTCACTATGTAGACCAGGCTGGCCTTGAACTCAAAGACAGAGATCTGCCTGCCTCTGCCTCCAAAGTGCTAGGATTGAAGGCGTGCGACACCACCGCCCGGCTACATTTGCTTACTTTAAAATAAAGAGGGAGACTGGGAAGTTGGCTCTGGTGCCGGGGCAGTTGCCAGCACCCACATCCAGTGGTTCCAACTACCTATAGCTCCAGCTCTGAGGGGTCCAGTGCCCTCTTCTGGTCTCCATGGACACTCACTCATGTGTACAGAGACACATAGGGACACATAAATCATTTTTTTAAAAAACTTCACTTGCTAGCAGGTAGAGAACAGACTATAGGGCATAAACAAAAGTGTGGGCACCAAGAGGAAGGCACCTGATGTACTCAGACGTGACAACTGCTCAGTCCAGGGCAGTGGCATCAGGAGAGATAAGAAGTATGTGGGTTCAAGATCATATTTTAAGTGAATCTCTCACATACCAGTAGAGCATTCACAGCCAGAGTGACTTCCCTGGTGGGCAGCATGGGCAGGCTAACAAGAGTCTCTGTGCAGTTTAGGAGAAGCCTAAACATCCATCCCTCAGTAGATCAAAGGCAATGCCCAGTGACATGTCCGCTGTGCTGTGATGACAACCACGCTTGGCCTCTGACCTCTCAAAACCCAGAATCCATTCCACCATGAGGAAAATCAACAAGCCAACCCAGGAGAGACATCCTACAATGCTATGCTATCCCAAATGAGGACAGCAGAAAGCACCAGAGGGATCTTGCCCATTGCTCTGCAACAGGAAAAAACACCAGAGAGGATTTCCATGCCAGTATCAAGTCTTCCACGTGACAAGGCCCAGCAGTAACAGAATGTCAGCATTAAGGGAAGGGGTCATAAAGGAGATAGTTGGTCTTATCGCCAGAGCTTTTCTATATGCTAAGCCTTAAACAGTCTTAAAATGGAGGGAGTCAGAAGATGGTGGGGTTTGGATCTGAGCAGAAAGGTGGTCACCAGTCACTTAACAAGGAGAGAAGGGGATTGGCAAAATGGCTCTGCAGGTAAAAGTACCTGCTGCGGTTAGGTCTTAGACCCAGGGCAAATGCCTCCGTCACATATCAAAGTAGATGCTGGCTGCCAGGTTCCCCAGCCTCCCTCAGTCTCTACCTGCTACAGGGTCCTGGCTGGCATACCCTGTCTGCTACCCTGAACTCTCCAGCCCAGATACTGGACAAGACACCCCATCCCCAGTGCCTCTAGCTGCAACCATTTTGGCTATACCAGTCTCTTAGCCCAGGCTGCCCTCTTGGTTGGCGGCTCCTTTCCTCACCCTCCTCTCCTCAGATGGCCCAGCTCAATCTGGCCATGTTTCCTCTGGATTGTCCCAGATGTCCCTGCCTCTGCCTACGCTCTCCCTTTTATCTACAATAAACCTTCTTCTCCCCCATACCTAAAAGCATCATGTCTTTCCTTTTTTATTTCTTTTTTTTTTTCCTTTCAGCTGCCAAGCTTGATATGAGTTCAACCTCCAAGTCCACATGGTGGAAAGGGAGTATTGACTTCTGAAAGTTGTCTTCACCTCTGCGCATGTGAATACATACATACATACATACATACATATACATACATATACATACATACATACTTACACATGCATACACACACATATACATATATATACACATAAATACACACACATATGTATACACATACATATATGCACATATGTACATACACATATATACATACACACACATACACACACACACACCAGAGGATGCTGACAAAGATGTGAAATCAGGAGGCGACATCAAGAGTCCTTCTAACGTTGTCCTGTTCATTAGAAGACACAAAATGAAAATACATATAGTTATTATTCTATTCTTTTATTTCTGTCTTCATGAAAAATCATCCTTGTTTTCAAAAACTTAAAAAGGCTTTTTTAAAGGAGCTGAACTTTTAATACTGGCTTGCTGGAAAGAGGTTAAATTGCAAACCAACTGTCCTATCACTGTGCGTCCCAAACCCAGACGCCTTCCTGCCCTGTGTACAGGAAGAACGGCACAGAACTCAACACTCCTTGGAAGAAGCGTTTAATCTGAGCAAGAGAAAACTCTGCAGCTGCAAGGCTGCCTCTATTAACATGCCTGATGTAATGAGTATTATCATGATTCTTTTATCAAAGTGACTAATAGATTCAATGAGATTCCAATAGTCTCCAATCTAGCGGCTTTTCAATGATTCTACCTCTACTTATAATAGCTCCAGACTAATCAGAGACCCTGTCTCAGGAGAAATAGACAACATTCCTGAGGATAACACCCAAGGTTGCTCTCTGACTCCCACCTGCACACACACTTGTACACATCCATGTACTTGCACACACATGAATACTCATGTACACACATACACACAACTAGGTTCTAGATAAAAGTCACTTGGAAAGTTGGAATGGACCCAAAAGTGCTTCTTCACCCTGCAGCCACTCACTGTGGGGCTCCTGTACAAGGAGGGTCTGGGCATGAATGCGCAGAGCTGTCTAGTCTTCAGACACCAAAGGGGTCAAAGGCAAGAGGACAGGAAGGTTGCTGCGGCCTTACCCTGTGTTCATTGATGAGAAGGTCCCGGGCAGCATTGAAGATGAGTGTGTGGAGGTGCTTGGAATAGAACACCAGGGTGTAATCGTAATCAAAGCCATATATCTCGATGTCTGACAGGCTCATCTCATTGTTGGAGAAAATGGCGTCTGGATTCAGCAAGTTGTTCATGATGGATGGAACCAATTCTAGGAGCAAAGAAAAGAATCTGTTATCTCCTAGGA